CAGTCCTAAGCAAATGGACCCCTTAGGTCTCTTCATTTGCACAGTGAAAATAACACTTTCCACAGAGCTGATGTGAGGATCAAATGAGACTGCACAAGGAAAGCCCCTTAATAGCGCTTGGGTAGGAGTTAATAATAGTTCCTTATCACTATTACTGTGCAAAGCACTTTCTTGGGCTGCTATCAGATTCAACCGCCCCTATAATTTATAAAAGGGAAAACAATTCTCGACAACATTTAAGAAATGTGGAAATCCAGGCTGAGGAAGTTGAGTGATCAACTCCAATTCGCTCTTTCCACTACAAGACCCAACCTTCGGGGTAAATGGCTGCGTGTCCCGGGAAAGGGGAGTTGACCTCGGTTCAGCAAGTGAATCTTACTTTCAGTTAAACCTAAGTGGGCGTCTGGGCGCTCCCATCCTGTGTCTGGTCATATTCTACAGCAAGAGAACAAAAAAAGGAGGTTGCCATCTTCAAAGTCACGTTCAACGTCAGGAGTGTGGGCGGCAGGGACACTCAGAAGGAGCCCCCGGATCCACCGCAGCCCCGTACCTGCTCCCCGCAAGCCCAACACCCGGGTGTGTCTAGACCGACCTCCGGCCAGCATCCTTAGGTTCACACCCACCGTGTCTCCTCCTCTCTGGCCCTCCCTCATCCCGGCCGCAGCTCACTTCAGAGGGTGGCCAGTACCTTTCTATGTCTGAGTCTCGGCTCCAGAAGACTGATCCCACCTAACAGCCGACAAACGTCACCAACAGCCACCAACCGGTTTTGAGCCGCTGGCCCGCTCGCCCCGCCCCGTCGGCTCCCGCCTCCGCCCCTCACCCTGTCCGTTACTCCCGACGCCGACGTCGCGCCCACCTACAAGCGGGCCTGGACCACCTGCTCGCTCACCGCCCTTGCCTCCATCCTTCATTTCCTAGCGCCACGCCCTCCTCCAGGCCGGCCCGTCCCCACTGCTCTCCAGGTGTCCAGATTCCCGTCTAGGCTGGCTGAGGCACCCCTGTTGAGCACATAGCTCAGCACCCTCTGCTGCAGGTGGATTCCGCCCATTCCATGACCCACCCATCACCAGGCTGGCCGGTTCGCCGAAGGTCTCCGGGTCACTCCGCACCCTCAGCCACACCCTCAGCCAGCAGGCCCCGCCTCCTCGGGGGACTTTTTCTCATTTTATAGGACGGACCTGTGCATCCTTTAGTCTCTCACACAGCCATCATATACGTCTGGAACTTCCAATGGACCAAGGCCGGGCCTGAGAGGCGCCTGGTTCCCTCTGGCCAGCCTGAGCTCCTGGGGACCAACTGCTAATGCTGCCTCTGGCTCAGAGGACGAGGCATCCTTGGGTGGAGCCGCGCCTGGGGTGGGGCGGGATCAGCCAATGAGATGTGGCTGGCCGGGTCGACCTTCTGCAGAAAGGTCAGCGGGGAGCAAGCACCACCCTACACACTAGAAGCCGTAGTGGGCGTGGCTAAACGAAGGACAGAGCCAACCTAGAGCCAACCTCCTCCGGGAAGGATTGGCCCGGTGGTAGTGGGATCAGCTGAGTCAGCCTGCAGCCAAGAGTTGGCTTGGGTACTGGGAAAGGACCTCTCATATTTTTCTGCCTATACTAATTTGGATTCTCACCAACTCTGTATGAGAATTTCTGTTTTTCTCCACTTCACGGACAGCATTTATTTTTAAAATTAATTTTGGGGGCGTCATCGGCATTGTAATTGGGCTGACATAACTCATATTACAGTTCAGATTTATATTTTCCTAATGGTCAATGATATTAGGCATTTTATAAAATAGATTCGTAGCCCATTTGCAGTTATTTTGAAACGTGTCTATTCAGATCATTTGCCCATGTTTTCTCTTTGGATGATTTTGTTTAATTTCCTTGTATATCATGGATGGAAATTCTTTGTCAGTTGAATGGCTGGCAAACCTTTCCTTCCCTTTTGTCTCTTCCTCTCTGTTTCCTTGCTTGAAAACTTTTTGGTTTCCTGTTTGATTGGCTTTCATTTTCCTGTGTGTTTCAGGTCACAATCTAAACCCTCTGCCTATGCCTGTGTCTTGACGTGTTTCCCCTGTTTTCTTCTAGTAGTGTCGGAGTTGGAAGTTTGAAGTCTTGCATTTTCAGTTGATTTTTGTACTGAGTGACAGATAAGAGTCAAGGTTCTGTTTCCTACCCGTGGGTAATCAGTTTTCCCCAGCACCATTTATTGAATTGGCTGGCACTTCTCTAGTGTGTTTTTGGTACTTTTATCAAGAATCAGTTGGCTGTAGATGAGTGGGTTCATTTCTGGTAAACTTTCTGTCCTGTTGGTCTGTGTTTCTGTTTTTGTGCCAGTGCCATTCACTTTGGTGACTGTGGCTCTTAGTGTTTCTTGAAGTGAAGCATCGTAATGGCCCAAGGTTTCTTCTTTTTGTTAGAGATTGCTTGGACTGCTCATGATCCTTTGTGGTTCTACAGGACTTCTCTGCCTCCTTCAATCCTTCTTTTCCATTTTTCATGTGTACATAACATCCCTTAATCATACATACTCCCACTTCTCTCCCTTACTCCCTACCCTGCTAATTTCCTTCCTCTTTCCAATGGTTCCCCTTCTACTTTCATATCTAACCCCCCCAAAACTCTGATTCCCTGTGTGACAGAAAGCATATTTGTCTTAAGAAATGAGTTTTTAGTTCTGACCCCCCCCCCTTTAGATTAAGGGTTTTCCAGAGTCATCTTCTAAATCTGAGGCTTTTTCTGTGGACAGTTGGTGGGTTTTGCTTGCCAGATCATATTCTTGCTCTTATTTATTTTTAAATTCCATGTTCAGTTAAATCAGGGCTCAAGGGTGCTGCAGAATTACTTTAAATCTCTTCATATTAATCACATTCATGACCTTCCCATCTGCACCAAAGTCCTCTCAGCTTCCCAGGCCAGGAGGCAGAGCGGCAGGTGGAGCTCCCACACCTGTGTTCTTCACACTTGCTAATTGCTCCCTCAGCTAATGACTTTTTCCTAATTGTTCTCTTCTGATTACCTAACAGGGACACATTCCCCATTCTTCAGTTTTTATCAAAGTCCTGTTTTTCACTCATAAAAGACAGACACATTCGGAGTTTGAACAAAGGTAAAGATTAAATCATTGATGAAATGCATGCAATGCATAATGGTTCTGATTAAAGAGAATTAACATGAACTTTCCTCTTTCATAGCTATGAAACTGAGAACCCAGCCCACAGCCACTAATATTAACATTAGAATTGCGTTCTAACATTCTTTTATGCATTACATATAATGTAAGAAAAAAGTGTCAGGTTTTGTCTTTTTTTTTTTTATTTTGGAGATGGGTCTCCCTGTAGCCCCAGCAGGGCTGGAACTCCCTTTGTAGACCAGGCTGGTCTCGAACTCACAAAGATCTGCCTGCCTCTGTCTCCCGAGTGCTGGGATTAAAGCCATGCACCACCATGCCCGGTCTCAGTGTCAGTTTTTAATTGTGTTATTCAAAGGAAACATAATTTCTAGTATGTTCTTATTTAAGTTCTTGCTTCCAACAGCTGCCATGGGTCCCATCTCTGTACACTAATGGAGTTGGAAAGGAACACTAGCTA